AAGAAAGAGAAAAACAAAAAGAAAAGGAAAGACAGAGGGAGAAGCAAGCGGAGTGGTGTGGACACAGACCTGGTTGACAGATGGCGTGGTAAAGTGAGATCACCCTCTGAGATGAGCTAAGGCCTGGGCAGGGCTGGGCTGGCATGACCACACCAGGGAGTGACTCAGTGCAGGAAGTGGATGTAGGACAAAGCCCAGGTAGTCTGGGATGCAGCCAGTTAGTTTTAGCTTCTCTGAAGAAAAGCAGATCTATTTAGCAACCATATTACTCTCTGCAGCCCATTTCTAGAGCCTGTGTGAGCATGAAAGGTAGGGAAAGTTGCCGAATAGAGAAGTCCTGAATCTCAGGGTAGAACTCATTGGCCACCTCAGCTTTCTGGTTTCTGTGGGACACTTGAAAACATGGTCTTTGTAGAATCAGGAGGAACTGGCATCCTCTCTATCTATCTCCCCATGACTGTTAAGACCTCAGCCAAACCTAGAGTCTTGGCTGAGATGGATTTGGAGGTCGAGGGGCAAATCCCCAAAACCCAGGTGTCAGTGTTGCCCTTTCCTGACCATGGCATCCTTGTGAGCCAAAGTAGAAGGTGCCATGGAATTCCAGCTCTACTCTAGATCTCACACTGGGGACCGTGACTGACCTGACTTATTCTCTTCAGAGATTCTTCAAATTTTATTTACTCCTGATTGCCAATACATTTCTCTTTGCTTTCTGTGCACTTGTGTACGTGGGCCTCTGGTTTAGTTCATAATAGGACCTACAAGACAATGAATTTAAGAGTAGAAGAACATGCTTTTTTGTTCTTTCCTGCTTTCCTTCTCAGAAGGTGCTCAACACATAACAGGCATGCTCCACATAGTCAACTGCCTTTCACATGCCTTCCAGTTTGTTGACTTTAGAAATTAGGTTGTTTCCTGGTGTGGTAGGTGGTGCACATCTGTAATTCCAGCCCCCGGGAAGCTGAGGCAGGAAGATCACTGTGAGTTCAAGGCCAGCCTGAGTTACTCAAGGCCAGCCTCAACTACATAGTGAGACACTGTCTCAATAAAATAATAAAATAAAATAAAATTACTGTTTCCTCCAGGAGGAAAAAAATATTTCTTTTTCAGTTGAAGACAGTTGGTCCTCAGAGTAAAGAGACCTGGATTCTAGTTCACCTTAGCGCCTAACATATTCTGTGAATTTTTTTTTATCTTCTTCATTTCTAATATAAGGAAGTTGAAATGGATGGTCCCTGAGTCCCTCCCAGCTTTAGAAATTCAACATGTCTCATATTTTCATTCTTGGGAAAGGTAAAAAAGCCTCATGGGCGGGGATATTGAATGAAAAACAGAATTGGAATGGTGGCAGCTGAGTGCTCAAAATTCAGTCTCTAAGCTTCAATTGAAGTTTTTCCTAGGCCAGGCATGGTGGTACACACATGTAATCTGAGCACTAGGGAGGCTGAGGCAGGAGGATTTGCAAGGTCAAAGCCAGTCTGGACTACAAAGCTAGACCCTGTCAACAAACTAACAAACAAATGAGCAAAACAAGCCTTTCCCTTTTAAACCTACAAGGAAGGCTGGGGATATAGTACAGTGGCACAAGGGCCTGTCTGGCAAGTGCAAGGTCCTGAGTTTGAGTCCTGATATCCCCTGCCCAAAGGAAAAAAAAAGAAACCTACAAGCAACTAGGTTTTTGCATTTCTCAAATCCCCTATCCAGGGTAAATGGCACTGAATTAAACCTAGGGAGAGCTAGAGTGATCTGCCTGTTCTTCTAGCATTTCTGAGAGCCACCCGAGGAGCACAGTCTATCTCTTTCAGTAGCTTTGAATCCCTTAATATGACTAACCCTGTATTTGGAGTGGCCTGCTGTCTCCGCCATGTAGATCTTCAGGACAGTCCCCACTGTGCTTGCCCACTGTGGCTGTGGACAGCAGTGAACACTCGTGGTTATGTGGAGTGGCGCGTGGCAGTGGCGCTGGTTGGCTGTGTGTGTCTCAGTGCTGTCCTGTGTGGTGTGGACGTCTGTGTGCAGCTTGGCGTGGCTACTAATGTGCTCCTGGCCTTGCAGGCTCGCAGTGCACAGGGCTGTTCAGCACCACGGTGCTGGGCGGCTCCTCCAGCGCCCCGAATCTTCAGGACTACGCCCGCAGCCATGGCAAAAAGCTCTCGCCTGCCAGTCTGAAGCACCGAGATGGTATGTGGGTGGGTTTTGGGGGGCAGCTCCTTTTTTCACCTGTCCCCTAGCAAGGACACAGCTCCAGAGCCATTCATGCTTAAGGTGGTACTGACAATGGCCTCATAACAAGTTTTCTTCATCAGTAATAGATGGGAGAACCAGGACCCTTTGCACCCTTCCATTTGCATCCCTCTCACCATACGAATACTATTTACTTACGCTTATCCCTTCATAATCTCCCACATACAGCCTTGCTGCCTCGGTTTGTATGCTTTCCCGGATTCTGGCCTGTAGGGGTGGATCAAGAGAATGATGCGTGGTCAACAGAAATGCTGTGGAACCTTGATTGAAATCCAGGAAATCAAGCTTAGGGGAAGTTGCTCAGCTCAGGTAGCAGAAATGATACCGCAAGAGACTGCGAAGAGGGAAGAAGGTGGTCACGCACATTTTACTTACAGATGCCCGGCAGGAGGGCGTAGTGGTGAAATCAGTGTTTACGGGGCCACACGATGGTAGACATGGTGCAGGCTGCTGAGAGATTGCACCAGAGGAAAAGGCTGTGGCAGTCAGGTGTTTGAGGGGCGGGGATGGGATCAGGTCGTGTCACTAACTAAAGAGTGTACTATGGGCAAATTCCAACGCAGAAGGGGGGCACAGGGTGGGTATAATCCCCATGATGTCTTTTCTCCCCAGAGCTCTTGTTTGTCCCGGCCGTAAAACGATTTTCTGTGTCGTTTGCAAAGCATCCGACTAACGGTACGTTTGCTTTTGACTCAACATCATCCCTCCTCACCATTGTCACCTCCAGACACTTAACCGCTGAGTTCTGACACTGACTCTGCCTCTCCTTCCACTGTGTTGACACCCTGCTGTCTCCAGATGAGCTCATCACTAAGTGTCCTTGCTGGGACCTTTCCCTTATGACCACCTGCGGCGTGCCTGCAGCCTCTCCCCGTGGCAGCGCAGGGTCTTTCTTCCATATCACTGTCCTGACCATCATGTCCTCTGTGTCAGCATCACCACCCCAGATTGATAAGTCACTCCCTCTCCTGTCATGTGACTGCCGGGCCATGCGCAGATGTGGTAATGGTTCCTCTTCTGAGAGAATAGTATTGCCTAGATTGGGCCAGTCGCTTCTCTTTTCTCCCCCTACTCCTCAGCATACATAATTTTCATCTTCCTGTTTTTTTCCTCCAACTCGTTTGGTGGGGCAGATGACTAGTTTGTTCCTGTGCTGGAGCAGTGCTGCCATCCCCACTGTGGCCCCTGCTTACCAGGAATACAGCGTATAGTTCCCATCTCCACACTCCTGTCTCCGGCTGTTGTGTGTAATTTGTGTGGCACTCGTGCTCCTGACATCTGCTTTATGTTACTACTAACCTAGTGCCTGGGCTTAGGAAACAGCCCGAATCGCTGTGGGATAAAAGAAAGAGAAAGGAGTAGGAGGTAATAGGTAATAGGGAAATAGGAGGTAATAGGTAATGTTGAGAAAACATTAAACTTTGAGATTTTTTTCTTCTTGTTTGGGAATTTTTTTTTTTTTTTTTTTTTTTTTGGTATTGGGGATTGAACCCAGGGCCTGTGTATACTCAGCCCTGTACCTTAAGGGTTTTTGTTGTTGTTGTTATTGTTGTTTTTTTTTTTTTGTCTTTTTGAGACAGGGTCTCACTATGCAGTTCAGGCTGGCCTTGAGCTCACTTTGTAGTCCAGGCTGGGTCTCAAACTCATGATGATCCTCCTGCCCTGGCCTCCTGAGTGCTGGGAGCCACCACGCCTGGCTCATGTTGTTGTTGTTTTTTGAGACAAGGTCTTCCTATGTAGTTCAGGCTAGCCTTGACCTCACTGTATAGCCCAGGCTGGCTTCAAACTCGTGGCGATCCTCCTGCCTCAGCCTCCCAACTGCTGGGATTACAGGTGTGTGCCACCACGCCTGGCTCCGAAAGTTTTAAATGTAGTTTCCATGTGGCTCCAGCCTGCCTATGGCAGAGCCATCTCAGAGAAACTGGAAGTAAAGAGGTGAGGTGTTCGTTGGGGATCCTGAGGGAGATTAGAAATGCATATTGTTTCAAGAATATCAAAGAACTGGATCTGCCCACATTAATGGGATGAGTTTGATGACCTTGTGAATCACAACTGAGGGGTTGTGGAGTTTTTGTAGGGGATGGCAGGAGAACCAAGGCCCACTCCCTGTTGAGATTTTACCCTTTGTATCCTTAGTTTTTTCTCTGCGTTGTGTCTCGTCCTCAAGGTAAACATACTTTTGTAAGATATGATTTTCTTCTAAGAGCTAAGACAATCAGAAGGCTTCATGCTGACACCTCCTGCTGCCTAGCCAGTGGCACGTGCAGGACTTTAGAGCTGTTGGATTGTGCGTCCCCACTGGCACTGCTGGGGTTTCTCCCTGGGCTGACAAGCCTAGATTCTCAGTTTCACAGGCTAAACCCTCAGGCTCCCACTTGTGCCATGGCAGAAGTCCCCATTGAGAGCAAGGTGGTTGCACCAACTCATTCAGCTTCAGTCCTTTCTGGCCTTCCGAGTGGCATAGTGCTGACGTGCTTGACCCATAACAGCAAGCGAGGGACTTGAACTGAGGGCCCATAACCCATTACCAGGAGCGGAGGCCCCTGAGATCAGAGTTAAATCGTATCTCCTAGTTTCTTAGGAACCATAGGAAAAGGCCCAAGCGCATAAGACAGATCCTATATATCTCCAGTTCCTTGAAGCCTTGGTTGGCAGACTCACCAGCTGAAGAAAACAAGAATTAATTTTACCATAAGGAGGAGAGGAAGAAAGACCTGCACAATTCAGGTATAATGCAGGAGAACAGATTCCAGATCTCCTCCAGTCCTTTGCATACTTCCTCAGGAGTCTTCCTGCCTCCTGTGTTTTCCTTGTGCTTGAGCTTGGAGGCTGATATGCTTGAAAAGCCAGAATCTGGGATCTTACTGCTGGCAACAACAGAAGTTTAGAGCTAATGTCTCTTGCTGAGGATCACCTAGAGTTAATTTGGCCTTAAGACAGTCGGAGTGCTCTACCCTCTGGCCAAAGTCTTGCTTGACTGACCCAATAATTACAGGGTGAGTGCTCTGTCTCCAGTTGCTTGTGGCAGATTATTCACAGCAGTGTGCCAGCCTACTGTTTCATCACCACCACCTGCTTGCATGATGTCTGGCTTGGAAATAGCAGCTGGGAGAATTGGACCTGGCTTTGGGAAGGAGGCAAGGCAATGCTGCCTCCGTTCTTTGATTGAAGAGCAACCCTCAGTCCTTCCTTGCCGCTTTTCTGATAAGCTTTTATCACGTCCTGTGATAATACGCAGCATATAAGTGTGGCCTGTTACTAAACTGTATGCTGAACTCACCAGAGCAAATTAATGAAGTGGGATAGAGACTGTGGCTCGCCCTTGCCCCAAATGTCAGAGTGTACGGAACGGACTCATCAAGCCCATTATCTTCCAGGGACCCACACAATTGTGTGACTGTTGAAGCAGTCAGTGCTCACCAGACTAGCCTGGAGAGAGCTAAGTTCTCTCCTGACATCCAGAGTAAGGCTGAAAACCATATTCTCGTGGAAGCACCCTGTGGGACGAGTTCTGGTCTGGGCGTTCTGAGTAGTTATCCTCAGCTGCTTTGATCCTACCTTCTCTACACGGCATCCTGTCCTCACATCAGGCCTGTAGACTCCATTCCTTTTCTCCGAGATCTTTCCTGTTGTTCCCCTTATACTTCCTACCACAGGCCTTCCACTGTCTTCAGCCTTTTGCAGCTGATCCCAGGCATCCACAGTTTGCCAATCAGCCAAAATGATGAGGGACTTAGAATCAAAGCTTTCCCACTCACCAGCTGAAAACACCATTTGGACTCATCAGCAGTGGAAAGATAACATACAGTCCTCTCACTTCGGCTTCTGTAAAGGACACAGTGTCCCCCAAGGCTGATATTTCTGTTTACTTTAAAAAATATGTGTGTATTAGAACAAGAGTAATGTAAAGATGATTAGTCATTTTTAGAAAATTAGTGTTTCATTTTCTACATGCACTGGTCTGTTTATTTATTTATTTATAGATAAAATCTTGGTGTGTAATGCAGGCTGGCCTTGAACCCACTATGTAACCCAGGCTGGCCTGGAATTCCCAGCAGTCTTGCCTCAGCCTCCCAAGTGCTAGGATTATAGGTGTATACCACCACACCTGGTTTACGTGCAATTGTAAAGGAGTCCTACACTTGGTTTCCTGCTAGTGCTCTGTGCCAGCTGCCTGGCACCAGCCTTGTCTGGGGCTGTTTTAGTGTGTGGTCCGGAGGCCTAGCCTGAGCTTTCAGGAGCCTTTTTAGCTTTAGACTTATCTTGATACCTAATATACCATTCTTGACCCACTTCTCTGAGTAACTTTGAATGGTTTCATCTCTATCCCATCTTGTAAATGCCTTTCTCCAATTAGTTTGTTCAGAATGACCTAATCAGGGCCTCTGGAGCCCTAGCACAGGTTCTCAGCTGCAGAACTGCCAGCTTGTCCCAGTCCAGAGGATGTGAGCACTGCCAGCCCTGACTGAGTTATGCTCCGGGGGAAGGGCAGGCCCTTGTGTGATGAACCCTTGTCTACTTCATCCCTCTTTTATACTCACCCTGTGTTGCCAACACTGTTCTGGCCTGCGAGAAATGCCCAGTGGCCCTGACCATCTCACCTTCTTTCTTAGCTCACCTTGGATCTGCGTGGCCCCCACTTCCCAGTAATGCTGTGCCAGTCAGTGCCCCCTCATTGTCTCTCCTTCTTCTCTTTCTTTACCCCTGTGCTTCCTACTGTGGCCCCCTGCCCTGTCCAGAGCTGCTGGATGACCAGCACCCTGTGGTCCGGTTGCTGCGCGGTTTTTCCTCTGACTGCCCAGGGTGCCGGCCGGTCTCCTTGGATGCCACACTGGCACATCATCTGCACCAGTGCTCCTACCACCTGCGCCTCTTCCGGAACTGGCTGCGCTCAGGCCAGGATGACCCCGAGTGCCTCTACGGTATCCCCTGCTGCAGGCTGGCTGCTGCCACTGCCCTGGCTGGAACCAATTGCTTTGCTTATTGCACTTGTGGCAGGAGAGCCCATCTGGTCCTTTCTCCTTTTTGTGCTAAGGTTATGCGACTTGCATTTAGTTGCTTGGATGGGATCAGGGCCAGACTGCCTGGTAGCTGTAGCCCTGGCTGCTCGCCCCTCTCCTGTTCTTCTTTCTCACTGCCCCAGTGTTACACATTCCCCAGTTCGAATCAGTATAAAGTAACCTTTTGTGCTGGAACCTGTTCTTATCTCTAATCCTTTACTACCACCATCTTCTGAATGGAATATTTTACGAACCACTCTGAGGAGCTAGAGACTCCTCCGCTCTCCTGCCACTGGATTATAGGGGGAAACTGAGGCACAGAAGCCCTAATCAAATCCTTGAGGCAAATAAAGGCCAGAGGTTAGAAGGTGATCAGGTAAAATCATTTTGAATTACAGGGGTTACTCCATGGTGAGCAGGATGCTGGTTGCTTTAAAGAGATGTAGAGGAGACACTGGAAAGATTGGGGCCTGAAAAAGTGGTTGGGATCATTATCTTGACCCTCCAGAGAGAACATTTTTTCTATCGGTATTCCCTGAGAGTAAGGGACACACTTAGGTTTACCTTTGACCTTATCAGGACTGGCCGTCCTATACTGGAATACTGAGTCTAGAGCAGAGAATCGGTCTTCTTTTTTCAAGGGGATTTGCCTCATTTTCCTGATGGAGTATAGAGATCCTAGCAAGTAGAGCAGAAGAGAAAAACGAAATAACTAAGGAAAGAACTTCCGTTCCCCACCCTGTTCATGCATGTGATTTCCTCAGCTGCGCTTCATGTGTACTGCATGCTCTCGGATTGCATCCAAGTCCTCCCACCTTTCTCCCCACATTGTAAACGTGCATGACTCTCTTCTCCGAATCCATGCCCTCCTCCTTAATCTGATTTTCTTGTTCATGGTACCTGAAACCTGCTGTTCCCTCCCAGCTCCATGGCCTCCCTGCTTCATGTTAGATCTACAGTTTCACCCTGTACCTCTGGATCCTTATTTCATTTCCCAGAAAGTACAAGAGCAGTGTTAGTGCTTACCCTCCTGGGAATCTGCTGATTTTTCCATGGGACATTGCAGTTTTTCCATAGACAGGATGAGAGGTGATTTGATTCACCTGGAAGCATTAAAAATAGATGTTTTAGGAAATCTAAGGGTAAGAAAACTGGACTTCCCTAGGAGCTCTAGCGAGTTCCCTGTCCTGGAAATCTTGGATACCCCACACTCTAAAAGCCACAGACTGTCCTGATGGCTCTCAGGGACTCTCAGCTTCCTTGGCCAATTAGGGTGTATCTGGCAGTAATAACATGGCTTTGCCTATTTTTTTCCCAACAGGATTTGAAGGGTGCTCCATGGTGCCTACCATATACCCCCTGGAAACACTGCATAATGCTCTTTCCTTGCGTCAAGTGAGCGAATTCTTAAGCAGAGTCTGCCAGCGCCACACAGAGGCCCATGCACAGGCATCTGCAGGTATGGAAAATGCTGTATTTCTGCCTCCATTTCCCTGATTCCTAGAACTTGAGAAAGCAGTGAGTTAGCAGAAAGTAATAAATAGTTAGGCACTCCACACACACACAAAAGTAGACTTGAAAAGTGTGCAGTCAACTACATATGCTGACTGACCATCATAGAAATGCACTCCTTCCTGAGGTAGTTTGTATACTTAAAACGATCCCACTAAAAATACAAACTAATTTTGAAATTCTCATTGAAGAACAAATAAGCAGAGTTAGCGAAGAAAATCCTTAAGACCAATGAGAAGATACTAGTCTTACCACATTTTAAACTACTTGTTTTGTTTTATTGTCTTTTTGAGACAGGGTCTTGCTATGCAGTTCAGGCTGGCTTTGAACTCACTTTGTAGCCCAGGGTGGCCTCACATAGCGATCGTCCTGCCTCAGCCTCCTGAGTGTTGGGATTACAGGTGTGCACCACTACGCCTGGCCTTGTCTTTTTGTTTTTCTTGTTTTTTTGGATAAGGTCTTGCTATGTAGTTCAGGTTGGCCTTGAACTCACTATGTAGCCCAGGCTAGTCAAACACAATGATCCCCCTGCCTCAACCTCCTTAGTGCTGGGATTATAGGCCTGCACAACCATCCCCAGCTTTTGGGGTCGTAGTTATAGCTCAGTGGCATAAGTGCCTGCTTGGCAAGCATGAGGTCATGAGTTTGATTCCCAGTACCAAAAAAAAAAAAAAAATCCCAGCTTTTTTCTTTGTTTCCATTTTAAACTATTCTATAAAATGTCTACAATGACAACAGTATAGTATTGGTACCTGAATAAACAGATCAAGGAAATAAAAATTTAGAAAGATATGAAATTAGCATTTCAAGATACCGGGTGAAAGATGTCTTCTTAAAAATTAGAGTAAAGCTGAGGCAGAAGAGTCACCGGTTTGAGGTCAGCCTAGGCAGCTCAGTGAGACACTGTCTCAAAAGAAATATTTTTAAAAGTGGGCTAGGAATGCGGTTCAGTGACCTCCAGCTCAGTACTGGAAAAAGAAAAGTGGAATAGGTCCAATTAAATAGTCACTTGACAAAAATAAATTTGACTCTGCACTTCACCATATAGATGCTATATGAATCAGATTCCTTTTTGCTGTTCTAGGGATTAAACCCAGGGCCTTCACACTGAGCTATATCCCCAGACTTTTTCTCTTTTTTTTTGAGACAAGGTCTTGCTTTGTAGTTCGGGCTGGCCTTGAACTCATAGCCGTCCTCCTCGGCCTGCTGACTGCTGGCATGTGCCACCATACCTAGCTTCTAGACCTTTTCTATATTGTACTTCAAGACAGGTGTCTGGGGGCTGGGGATTTAGCTCAGCGGCAAAAGCGCCTGCCTGGCAAGCGCAAGGTCGTGAGTTCGGTTCCCGGTACCGGAGAAAAAACCGAAAAACCAAAGACAGGTGTCTGTAAATTGCTAAATTGTCCAGGCTGCCTCAAACTCACAGTCTCCTGCCTCAGTATCCCATAGTGCTGGGATTATAGGAGTGCACCACCACACCTGGCTATTGAATGATTTGGGCACAGAAAACTACAGAATAGTTGGGTTCAGTAGTGCACACCTGTGATGCCAGCTGCTCAGGAAGCTGAGGCTGGAGAATCACAAGTTTGAGGCCAGCCTGGGTAACTTACTGGGGTCCTGTCTTTAAAATAAGCCATCAAGCAAATAAAGAAGAGCTGAGGATGTGGTAAAGTAATTGGTTAGCCTGCGTGAGGGCCTGGGTTCAATCCCCAGTACCACAATAACGAAACAAACTATAAAATATTGCACCAGTTAAAGGAGACCTAAATAAATGGAAAGGCACTTCATGTTCAGCTAGGAGACTTGATATTGTTAAGAAGAAAGTACCACAGTGATCTGTGAGTGTAATGCAGGACATACAAAATTGCAGAAATGGAAAATATAATAATAAAATATAGCCAGGCATGGTGGTGCACATCTGTAATCCCAGCACTCAGGAGGCTGAGCCAGGAGGACTGCTGTGAGTTCAAGACCAGCCTGGGCTCCAAAGTCAGCTCAAGGCCAGCCTGAACTGCATATCAAGACCCTGTCTCAAAAAGACAAAAAATAAGTTAATTAATTAATTAATTAATTAAATATAGTAAATAAATATAGTAAATGTAATGTTCAAATTCATGTGAAATTGCAAGGCCTGAATAGCCAAAAGAATATTGAGAAAGAAAAAAAAATGTTGGAGAAATCACATCCCCCAATTTCAAAATGTACTATCATATAATGCTAGAGTAGTCAAAATAATATGGTACAGCTGAATGTGGTAGTACAGGCCTGTAATCCTAGTAGCCAGGAAGCTGAGGCAGGAGGATTGCTGCAAGTTCAAGGCCAACCTGAGCTACATAGTGAGTTTGAGACCAGCCTGAACTATGTACGTAAAGATCCTGTATCCACCAAAAAAAAGTACTGTGATAAGGATAAAACTGCAGATAAGTGGAATAGAATTGAGAATCTAAGAATAAAACTACATTTATGGCTAGTTGATTTCCTATAAGAATGTTGAGACTATTCAGTAGGGAAACATAATCTTTTTAATAAAGGGTGCTAGAATCATTTGTTTGTTTGTTTATTTTGATACTGGGAATTAAACTCACAACCTCACGCTTGCCAAGCAGGCGCTTTGCCACTAAGCTATATCCCTGGCATGCTGGAATCATTTTATCCATATTCAAAAAATTAAATCCCCACAGCACTATATAAAAAGTTAACTCTCCTGTTGGGAGACTGAGGCTGGAGAATTGCTTGAACTGAGGAGTTTGAGACCAGCATGAGCAACATAGCAAAACCTCATAAAAAAAAAAAAAACTCATGGGCTGGGGATTTAGCTCAGCGGCATAGTGCCTGCCTGGCAAGCATGAGGCTGCTTGTGAGTTTGATTCCTGGTACCAGAAAAAAAAATGAAAAAAAAAAAAACCTCAAAATGGATCAATGACCTAAATATAACAGCTAAACCAATAAAACTCTTTGAAGATATGAGGTAAATCTTCATGACCTTAGATTTGGCAAATGATCTTAGACAAAAGCATAAAGAACAGCAAAACCAAAGACCTCTAGAAAAGGAAGAGATAGTTGTAAGTCATATGTCTGTCAAGGGTCAAGAATAAAATACCTTAGCACAAAAAGATAAGCAACCCAATTTAAAAATGAACATAGCACTACATAAGTAAGTTAGTTGAAGGCCAGCCTGCACTACATAGTGAGACCCTGTCTCAAAAAAAAAAAAAAAAAAAGCTGGGTATCGTGGTGCACACCTATGATCCAAGCACTTGGAAGCCTGAGGCAAGAGGATCACTATGAGTTCAAGGCCAGCCTGAACTGTACAATGAGACCAAAAAAAGAAAAAAAGAGCCAAGGACTTGAATTGACATCTCTGCAGACAAGAAGCCCATGAACAGTTGTTCATTCTCGTTAGTCAGTGGAGATATGCAAATATAAACTGCAGTGAGATGGCTTCATTCTCACTAGGATGGTGGCTTTAGAAAAAGAATTCTTGTCTGTTGCTTGTGAAAATATAAAATGATGCAGCCACTGTGGAAAATTTTGATACTTCCTCAATAAGTTAAACATAGACCTGGGGATGGTGGTGCATGCCTGTAATACTAGCACTCAGGCCGAAGCAGGAGGATTACCACGAGGTCAAGGCCAGCCTAGGCTACATGGTGAGTTCAAGGCCAGTCTGAACTACATGGCAAGACCCTGTCTCAAAAAAAAAAAAAGTGAAATTAGAATTGAAATTCTAAACATAGAATTGCAAAGTTCACATTTTACGTGATTTCATTTATGTGGAATACCCAGCAGTTCTACCCCTAGGTGGACACCACAAAAAAAAAGACAGCCGGGCGTGGTGGCGCAGGCCTGTGATCCCAGCACTCTGGAGGCAGAGGCAGGAGGATCGTTGTGAGTTCGAGACCAGCCCGGGCTACAAAGTGAGCTCAAGGCCAGTCTGAACTGCAGAGCGAGACCTTGTCTCAAAAAGACAAAAAGAAAAAAAAAAAAAAAGACAGAATATGTGAAAACAGGCACTCAGACAATTATTTCACCCAGAGGTTTACATCAGCACTACTGACAGTAGTCAAAAGGTAGAAACAACTGACATGCCCACAAATGGATAAATAAAATGATATATATACATAAGCAATGAAATATTACAGAGCTATAAAAAGGAATGAAATACTCATGTTACAGTCTGATGAACCTCAGAGACATCCCCAGTGAGTGAAGCCCAAAGCAAAAAGTCACATTTTACATGGTTTCATTTATGTGAAACATCCAGAATTTGGAAATCCATAGACAGAGAAAAGGCAGATTGGCTGTTTCCAGGGCTGAGTAGGATGGAATGGGTAGCTGACTTAACAGGTTTGGAGCTTTTCTTTGGGGAAAATGAAAATGTTTTAGAACTAGTTAAGGGTGGTGGGTTCACAACACTGGGTGTACTAAATGCTACAGAATTACTTACTTTGAAATGGTTCACTTTATATTATATGGGTTTATCTCAATGAAAAAAATTAACATGCAAGTAGTAAAAGTCAGCAGGGACCCCGGTGGTTCATACCTGTGATCCCAGATGCCTAGGAGGCTGGAGCAGGAAGACTTCAAGTTTGAGTCCAGCCTGGGCAATAAAAGGGTAGGGAGGTAGCTCAATGAGAGCATGCCAGGGTTGTTTTTTAAAAATGTCTTAAATCTAGGAAGTGAGTAATGAGCATTGATTGTTCTAATCTCTGTTACTTTTTTAAAAGTAAGTTTGAAAATTTTCATACTATAAAGTTTAAAAGAGGGTTTGAGTGAAGGAGCCCTAGGATACACTACTTCCTAGCCCCGGAGTGAGAAGTTGGCTTGACTGTTTGCTGAGATCATTGTGACCCTCGGATTCTTCACTCGCCTTTTGCTCTCCTGCTCTCCCCTGCACCTGTGCAGCCCTCTTTGACTCTATGCGCAGCAGCCAGGCCTCCGAGGGCCCATTTTCCCCGCCCCGCGGTCTTCATTCACCCCCGCTGCAGCTCCAGCAGCGCTCTGAGAAGCCTCCATGGTGTAAGTAGACTTTTTGTATCTGCCAAGACAAAGATCAAGAGGAATGGAGGGAAGCCGGGCATGGTGGCACACCCCTGTAATCCCAGCACTCGGGAGGCTGAGGCAGGAGGATCATTTCAAGTTCGAGACCAACCTGGGCTACAAAGTGAGCTCAAGGCCAGCCTGAACTGAATAGTGAGACCCTGTCTCAAAAAGACCAAAAAAAAAGAGGAATGGAGGGAGAGGCGGATGAGGAGCCAGTCACATGAGGAGAAAATGACGAGGGTTGCAGACCAGGAGTGACTCTGAGAAGCAGTCTCATCTCCTGTTTCCAAGATACAGGGAGCATCTGCTCATTGTCCTTCCGTGCTGTCAGTGGAGCCTCCTGTCTCGCTGAAGAGCTACTCGGAGACAGTGACCCAGAGCAGCTTTGGGGAGAGGAGGATGGGGATGCCCCTTTCCTCAGATCCTCTTTTGGTCTTGCTGTACGGTTGTCTGGTAAAGGTGATTAGGAGGCAGCCTAGATATACAGACCAACTTGGAGCAGGAAGCTGGAATTTGCTCTTAGTTTTGCATGTCCCCTTTCGCTAGTTGTTGAAACTTGCTGAGGAATAATGTTGCAGACATTCCTTTTAGTGACAGTGTGAACAGTGGAGCCACAGGAAGTTCTTGGGATAATTGCAGAGAGGGGAGCACTGGTGCTAATAAGAGGTGGGGGTACGGCCAAGGTACCAGAAAGGGAAAACTGCTTTCCTTATCATCCTGCCTCTAGGGAACAACTGAAAGCAAACATGCCTTTCATTCTTTTACTCAGAGGCCTGACAGAAAGGTTTCTATTTCAGTGCTAGGATTAACAGTTGTAGAATTTCGTCCTTCGGACACTCTGTAGGAAGAAGAAACATTCCTCCCTGACACCAGGAATCCCTCTGCTGAATTTCAGATTATCCGACATTTGCCTTGCGAGTGCCCCTTGTCCTCTCTCCTGGAGTGTTTATGGACAATCTTCTTCTGTTCTATTTCTGACTGGCCTCTTTGATTTGCCTGAATCGGGTCACTAGCTGGATAGTAAGGCCACTTCTATACTTGGCAAAAGCTTGGCTTACACCCTCGCTTCTTTTTTTTTTTTTCTGTCTGGTATCAGCTCTTCATTAGTAAACATCTTTTTGGGAGTCTGTCTGTCTGTCTGTCTGTACCAGAAACAGGCTCTATAGCTTTAAAACCTGGCTCAGGCCCCCAAACCATGTTCCTCTTCTTTTTCTGCTGAAGCGGACCTCCTCTGTCCCTTCACAGCAGAGAGATAACTACTGTATTTTGGGGCTGGGAATTTAGCTCAGCGGCACAGCACCTGCCTGGCAAGCGCAAGGTTGTGAGTTTGATTCCTGGTACCGGAAAAAAAAACGAAAAAAGAAACTTCTGTATCTTCAACTCCACCACCAAGTGAGCGTGTGTGGGCTCAGGCTTGCCAGCTTCCCCAGATTCTCTTTGACAACAATATAGTCAGGTGTTTACTGTTTCTGAATCTATCATCATTGATACCATAGTGCTTTAATACATAGTTACAATACTATGGTGAATATTAGGTTGGGCTTGGGATCATCCCACAGTGTAATTGAAGACTCTAAGGTCTTTATAATATTATTGACAGAATCTGGGAAATTAGTTTTTATAGTTTTCTATGTGTATAATAGGCACAGTTTTGTAACATTATATGTCCCAAGATTTAGTGTTTTAAACTTGGATCTGTGGATGGGCTTCAGAGAAGTCTGTGAGCTCCAGTGATCATATGTGAAGATGAATGTGAACCGTTTCATACATAAACCCTTCCTGGAAGATAATTCATGACTTTCACTGATGCCTCAGAGGGGGCAGCAACTCCCAGAAAGGCTAAGAACTTCTGCCAGCCGGGCACAGTGGTGCTTCCCTGTAATTTCAGCTGCTCAGAAGGCTGAGACAAGAGGATTGCAAATTTGAAAGCAACTTGGCCAACTTAACCAAATCCTGTCTCAAAATAAAAGAAGAAAGAGTGGGGATGTAGCTCAGTGGTGGAGTGAGCACCTAGCATGCATGAGGCCCAGTACCGCAAAAAAATCAAAACAAAACAATGCAAACAAAACAAAACAAAACAAAAAAAACTGCCACTTTCAGATTCCATGTCAGTCTTCCATTTTTGTACAAACCATTTGTTTCTCCCTACTGTTCTGCCTTACAGGGTTTTTCTACATTTTCTTGCTTACTTATCTCCTGGGATATAAGCAAAGATTTCCTCTGCCCAAGAAATACATTGATTACTTTTAAGAGTGATTCTAACACAAGGTATAAATCAGGTTCAACTGTGAGTGTTTCAACAAAATAATATTGTTCTCCTCTCCCTTTTCCCCACCCACGCCTTTACAATAAACCTATAGAATTAGGATGTCTGGAGCTGAAATCTGGAAATCTGGATTTAAAAACTGTTTTTTTCACAGTTGGTTTTTTTTTTTTTTTTTTTTTTGGAATTGAACTCATGACCTCAGGTTTGCCAGGCAAGCACTTATACCACTGAGCTACATCCCCAGCCCACACAGTTTTTATATATAACCTAATAATGAACCACTGGACTAAAGTGTTTATACGCATATGAAGTAGGAATGAGAAGGCATGGGAGTTTGGAGTCAGGCTAGAGGTATATTTATGAATTAACCAAATGAAGTGGGTCTCACTACTCTCCTGAAGTCTTAGATGAGCCTTAATTCTATTCTTGTAGACCAGGGTCACAGTTCCTGAGCTGGGCAACCTTAGGAGTCTCTGCCAAACTTAGGAAGCATTCAGACCCTCTCTCCCCAACACATGAGCGCCACAGACCATCCATTCTAGCATTTGAACTCTATGTGTAGGGTAAAGCGAACTCTTCCAGTTTGCCTGACTTGGTCTCTTGATTTTGCTTTACAGATAGCAGTGGCCCTTCCAGTACTGTGTCCAGTGCTGGTCCTTCCTCCCCCACTGCTGTGGATAGCAACTCCCATTTTGGCTTCAGTGACCAACCCTCCCTACGTACACATGTGACGGAAGAGAGCCAAGGACTTGAGCTGCTCCAGGAGGCCCCCAGAAATAGAACACAAGAGCTCCCCATAGGAGGGCAGCAAGAGCCTTTTGAACCAAACCAACCCCCACAGGAGTCACCTGTGGAAACCAGCAAGCCGGGAGGCCAGGAGATTTCTGAGGTCAGCCAGTCATGCCAGAAGAGCCATGACTCTGTTAACCATACATGCCAGCCATGCCAGAAGGCCAGCCAACTGTGCCAGGAAGCCTCTGAGGAAATTTGGCAGCTTTGCCGGGAGAACCCTGAGGAAGTCAGCCAGCCAAGCCAGGGGGTCCCTGCGGAGACCGGCAGGCTGGTCCACGGGCTCCCTGTAGGGGTTAGGGGCCTGGTCCAGGAAACCCTTGTAGAAGTTGACAGGCCAAACCAAGAAATCCCTAAAGAGTATAGCCAGCCATGCCGGGAGTTCTCTGTAGAGGTTGGCAGGTTGGCCCAAGAGGTTTCTGCGGTCAGTCTGTCACCTCGAGACATCCTTGAGGTTAATAAACCATCCCAAGAGCTCCTTGGCAAGATTGATTTGGAGGCCCAGGAAGTCCCCGAGGAGATTAGTCAGCAGTCTCGGGTGGTCCCTGAGGTGATCCATCAGCTGCCTAGAGAGGATGTTCCCCAAGCCCTGTATCTGCAAAGTGACCCAAACCCTCAAAGCCAGTCTCCAGCCCATGACCAGCACTCACCCCTTTCACCAGCAACATGTAATCAACCATTTTCTTACTAGTGGTGTCTCACTGCACCAGCCATTTGTGCCAGCAGCCTTTTCTGTTGGCTCTCATCAGCCAGAGAGAGGAGTGCCCCTCCATAGAGGTGTCTGAGAAAGCAGGCCTCTTGGCATGAAGCACAACTTGTGCCAGGGCTGCATGTGGCAAAGGTTAGTTTCATGTGCAAAACAACCTTTGGCTCCTTGCTTAGCCATTCTACTGGAATGGGATTTTCTTAGGATAGCTGATCTGTCATTACCTAACCTACTCTGAGCACCACAGGAAATTCCAGATTGTTAAAGGAAATGGCACTTAACTGCTAAAGACCAGCAAGGGGCCAGTAGAGGCCAGCAAGTATGAAAGGGGACTGCAGGGTCTTTATACAGGAAAATATCCACCACATCTCAAGGTACCCTTTAAATCATGTATGCCAGGGTCAGGGAGACTGTGGTCTTTACTAGTACTCCTCAGGCAGAGCCAAGATGGCCATCTGAAATGTCTGGAAAACAGTTCCCTTCCCAGACAAATGTCTGTCATAGCCACTACTCTTAGACTGAGCTTACGGGTGTTTCTCCAGGTGCCCCTGCGCCCCAGTCCTGCTCCTCTGAGCAAGTGCTCTAGGGAAAAGTAGTCAGTAGTTTGCTGAGCAGCTTCAGAGTGACTCCTGACTATGCTCTGGGGAGTCCTGGCCATGCTCTGAAGCTGGGCCCTCTTTGCTGTGGGGCTTTTGGGCCTAGGAGATACTGTCGTAGACAGAATCAGGTTCTATTTTAAGAGATTAGCAGAGATCAATATTATGAAGACTAGAATATATATATTTCCGTAGTTTGCCAGGGACAAGGCACAGACTGGCCAAAGACCAAACACTCCAGAGTCCCCAAGAAGTTTGTTTCATATCATGCGTCTTTAGGACCCAGATGTGATTCTGAAGCTTTTCCCAAAGATCTGGGGATAGGAGTGGGGGTAGGTAGAAGGGGTAATACAGTCATTAGAGTTGGGGGCCGGAACATTTTGAGTGCTCAATAAATATGAAACAATCAGAGTGGTGGTGGTAGTGATGATGTTCTTGTGAATTTAAGAATGAATATGATGGTGACTCCATTGTATCTGCAACTAAATCTGAATCAGTAGGAAGCCATCATAGTTGAGCAGAAATGGGATATAACACTACAGAGATCCGGCGTCCCAGAAGATCCCTGCAGCAGTCAGTCCACCATTCCAAATGTCTTTAATAAGTAGAATGTGGCGTAGTTGGGGTGGAAAGAAATTTAAGCCCTGTGAAGCACCAGCAGGCACCTGGTTTCTCACAGATCCTTGGAATCCCCTCCACATTTTTCATTTTAAATCAGGAGTTGATATCAAGAGGCCACACCCTCTCTACCCCACTGATGTCTTTAGACTGGGAAAGCCAGAATGCTGGGAGTGCTAGACAGTCCCCCTCCTGATACGTGCACGTTCATAACCACTTCTGCCATACCTGGGACTCCTGAGGGGCTCAAATCTTTTTATTCCATGGGAACAGTAAGTGCTAAAGGGCCTGTACTTTGGGGAAAATATTCACAGTGACCACACAGTGAGATGGGGTTCCCAACCTCAATAGGTTTGGAACCTCTTAGGGCTCCTTCAAAGGGCCAGCTTCTCTCCGGTGTTCCCCTGTCCACTGTATCAGATCCTGGTTATCTGGCCCGCACCTCTGTGGAACCTACATTCCAAGGAGGTTCCCCGCCTGGAAGCTCCTAGTCCCCATCCTCAGGCATTCCTGCCCATTTTCAGAAATGATTCTGTTTCTTCACCACCCTGACTCTGTGGCTCCCCCCGGGTCATGGAACTGCTTCTGGGGAGTCAAAAGAATCTTTCAAGATAAATGACAACATTGGTTGAAGCAGAGAGGTGGAAGTCAGGGCCCGGCACCTAAGTAATATGTGGAGCCCAAGAAAGCCCAAGCAGCACCACACCACACCAGCCGCAATGAACTTGATTTATTGTTAGACTCAGCGGCTTTGTCACAGCAGCTGGGAACAATCGCAGGGGTGTAGGGAGAAGCAGAGCACGGCAGCACGGGGACGGGGAGCTGAGAAGGACACAAGTGGGCTCATCTTGGTGGCCCAGTTACTCAGCAGGGAAGGTGAGCCCCAGGGCTTCTCAGTCCGCAGCGGTCTGTCAGGGGCTGCTCGCTGGCTGGCCGGGGGAAAGTCCTCTCCTGGGGGGGACTTTCCAGCCGCTTTCACGTCATGCTGGAGGCGTTAAGCTCTAGCTCAGCTTCGTCTGCCTGTCCTCTCTCTCATTCTCCCCGAGTCCTCTGGCCTGGTCTCCACCTTCCAGGTCCTCTGTCCAGGAGTTCGGGTTTGGAGAGGCAGCCAGCATTCCCATTGCAGCTGCAGGATGGCACAGTGGAATGTTGGGGGTGTCACACGTGGCTGGGGTGTCAGATGGTGGGATGTCAGGCAGTGGCTTATTTTTAACCCATTACACACCAGGCCACAGCAGATGACCACATGCAGAGAAGCCAAGCAGGGGGTGAGAAGGGATTGGGATCACTGAAATGGGGTAGGTGAAAACTTCAAAGGGTCAGGGAGCCTGGAAGAACCCTGGGATTGGGGCTGGGACTCTCCTTGCCCTTTTGTGCCGCCCAGCAGACCTGGTCTGGGCACAGCCCTAAGGATGTGAACGGTGTGAAGCAGGGGCTGGGAGGTAAGTTCCTTTCTCCTCTCACCAGTCTGTTGGTCTAAAGAGCTTCAAGTTTTGGATTGAGACATTCAGATACTGAGGGAAGCAGGAGGACGGCATAGCAGCGGTGTACCCCCAGGCCCTGGCGGGTAAGGAGATGGCAGATGGAGGAAAGTGTGCAGCTCTGGGTACCTCACCGACAGTATCCTACCCCAGGTGACATAAATTACTATCAGGAATCCTTCCCAGGATATTAAATAGATCTAAGGAGGTCCCTGGGGTTGCGGGTACGGTCTCCCTCCACAAGAGGAGGCTGCCCTCTGAGACTCATCCTCACGCCCCAACCAATGCCAGTATCTGACAGTGCTGTGCAAGGGTATCACTTGGGGTCCTCGGGCCTGAGATGACCTCCTACCCTCAGTGCCTTTCCCTTGTCCTCCTTACCACTTTCAGTTTTGAGACCTGTGAGGAATGGATGAGGGGGAGGACAATACCTTCCATTTAGCCCGGCCCAAGCCCCCACAACAAGACATCCCCTCAACCCCAAAGGACACAGCAGTAGCCATTCTCTAAAGGAGCTGGGGGAGTGGATCCTTGGGAAGGGAGGGTAGTTCTTTCAGAACTCGATCTTGCAGGCTGGGAAGGATTCATCCTGCATGACCACAGTGCTGCTGCTCGCCAGGACCAAGACGTTCAGCTGCTGCTGCTGCTCATGAGTCTGCTGGTACCACTCACGGGTCACCTCCGTGTCATGAGTAGGAATCAGAGTCACCTGGGAAGGAGATGAGACGTCAGAAGTGCGAGCATGGATGGAAGAAGAGGGGAGGGCCCTGTCTGTTTATGACAGTGTCCCACTGTGCATTTGAGTGAGCTCTGGCCAGAACACTGCGGTGCTACTCACCTGAAGATTCTCCCCCCACTGGGCCTTGCCCTCCAGCAGGGCATCCAGCACTGCCCGGCTTGGCTCGCCATTGGCAGGGTCATTCCCACTGACCACGTAGTAGGACGCACGCACACGACGGAAGAAGTCAAGGTCAGCAGTCTTGCCACTGCAATGATTCGGGATATAGGCGAGATCCACATATACAGGGGGGCCAGAGCCACCCTTGGACCCCAAGGCCACTGTGGAGACAAGCCAGGAGACATTGTAGAGGAAAAGCAGGACGCTTTGGCACCTTCCCCCTCTCCACTGCTAGAGCCTTCGGACCAGTCCACACCCAGCCCCAGCCCACACTCTTCTGCTCTCCACGGTATACTCACTGGGTCCTGCCTTGAGTCCATTGACGAGGCCTTTAGACATTGGGCTGTGTCCATCCTTCTCCTCTGCCGGAGTGGCCTGGCTTGGCGTGCTGCGTGTTCGGGGTGGGGCCCGGGATACTCGATCTACAGGCCCTTTACCAGGGGTCGGGGACCGTTTCCCCCGAAGATCCAGACGCCTCGCAGGGGATGCTGGCTTGGCCCGGCCTGGAGCCCTGCGCCCCAATCGCCCCTGCACCTTCTCCTTCTCCCGTAGCCTCTCCGCCCTCCCAGACTCTGAGCTGAGTCCCTCAGGGTCAGCCATGCACACGTCAGGGCGGGGAGGGGATGGGTGAGGGTCTGGCTGAGGGATGGGGGGTGGGTCGTGACCAGGCCTGGGGTGGTGAGTTCCACTGACCCCCCCAGCTTTGTCCACAGGCAAGAAGTCCCCATCTTCATCAGAGTCGAGAGCTGCCTCTGCTGTGATGGACGGACACTCCTCAGTTTCTGGTGGGACATCAGAATCTGACTGTGAGGAGCCTGAGTCACTGGCTGACGTTGGGGGAGTCTCATCAGCCACAGGGTATGGGCCCCCTGTGCGGCGGCGTCCCCCTCTTCCTACCAGCCGAGCTTCTTCGGTGGAAAGGTCACTGTCATCTGTGGATGGCGGCAGAGGTGGGTTCAGGAAGGATGGAGAGAGCTCCCCACAGTGGGGCCGGGGCTCAGCAGCACATCCCTGAGGTCCAGGCTCAGCCTCAGGAGAGACACTGCGGGGTGGACCCCCAGACCCCACTCCAGAACACAGCAGCTGCTCGGGGGAGAGCAGTGTGTCAGGCCGGGCGCTTCTCTCAGCTCCCTCGGGCCAGGCCCCTTGTTCCCAAGCAGGGCAGGCTCCAGCCTCTTCCTTCTCTGTCTTGGCTGTGGCAGGGCCAGGGGGACTGGGGCTGGTTTCAGTTGGGCCATTGGCCGCAGGCTCCACAGAGGGCCCCTGGCAGGGGCTTGGCTTCTTGGTTGTGTCCCCTGAGCACTCCGGGTGGCAGGGCAGGGTGCCACCATCCATGTCTCCAGGAAGGGTTGGAGCTGGGGCCAAGTCCAGTGAAGCTAGGGGCACTGGGCTCAGAGGAGTGAGGTCCCAGAGGCTGGGGGCAGGTGGTTCCATTCCTGGCTCCAGTTCTCCAGACTTGTGCTCTGCAGCCCCCGGGCCTGGAGGGAAGCGCTCAGCCACGCTTACGATCACTGGGGTTGTAGCCTCAGAGGAGGAGCCTTCAGACAAGACTGGTGAGGCAGGTCTTGGCAGGCTGGAGAGGAGGGGAGCCCCAGGGGAGCTGGGGGAGGGGAGCTGGGGCAGGGAGGAGTCCAGGCTGGGGGCCTTGGTCACTTCCAAGTACTCATCATGCCGAGCTCTAGTTGGGGGTCCTGGAGCCAGAGCCAGAGCTCGGTCCCCAGAGAAGGCAAGGGAGCCACAGGGCGCTGAGCGGGGCTCTGCCGGGGAGGGCAGCTGAGGGGGCGCAGGCTGCAGTGAGGAAAAGCCAAAGGCTGAAGCGGGGAAATCCAGGCTTGGTCGTGCAGGACCCAGGTGCAAGTCCAAGGGAGGGCTCGTGTGTGCCTCGGCTTCAGGCCACAGTGTGGGGGCCCCCCCAGGGATGGGGGGAGGGGGACTTGGGGACTGAGCCTCTTTCTCTGGCTGTTCCTGAGCCCCCTTCTCTGGCTCTGAGTCACTCGCACTGTCATCCCAGTGCCCCCGGCCTGCTTCTTTTGGGGAGGGGGTCCTCCGATCTGGACTACAGCTCAGGACAGTACCGAGAGGGAGGCTCGGGCCTTTGCTTGCAGGGATGGGCGCGCGAGGGGGCACGGCAGGTGGGGTGAGGCTGTCCTCCACACTTGGCGCTCGCTCAGGCTCCTGCCTGGGGGGCACCGTGGGCCCTGTCAGGGCCGCATAGCTAAAGGCTGCAGTGTCAGGCTGGAGGCCTTTGGGGGTGCTGGGAGAGGACAGCTCCTTCTCCGCAGGCACATTTCGGGCCATGGCCTCGGCCTTGCCCGAGAGGCGTGGGGGCCAATCCCCAGCTGCCCCAAGCGGAGGCTCCCTGGTGGGGCACGCAGGACCAAGGCCAGTCAGCATCATCTGCTCGTAGATGTCTGCATACCGGAAGCTCCTCTCCTCAGGGTAGGGTGTGGGCTCTCTCTGCTCTGACTCCGTGGGCTCTGTGTCCCTCGTGGCATGGCTCTCACTGGCCTCAGGGGCCTTAGAGCTGCAGGGGCTGCTGCCAGGAGCCTCAGCCCCACCTCCTGCTTCCGCTTCCCCTTTCCCTTCCCCTTCAGCCTTGCGGTAGTCCTTCCCCAGCGGGGAGTATGGCCCGCCTTCCAACTCGGCAGCGCCCTCCTGCACCGCGGCCACCACACTGTCATATTCTGCGGGGCCCCAGGAGAAGGGCGCAGGCATGTGAGGCTCTGGGGCAGGTGTGGGGGGAGCGGGAGCTGGGGAAAGGGGTGCTGGGGGCAGGGGTCTGTCCTTAGGCACCCACGGTGGGATGTCAGCCAGCCAGGAGGGAGCGGTGGGTTCACTCCTCATGGGTGGCCTGGGCTTCGTCTCAGGACTAGGGCTTTCTTGTCTGGGGGTAGGAGGACCCCTCTGTCCCACCATCTCAGGTGGGGAGGATGGAGGAGAGATGATCTCAAAGGGAGAGCGGGTCAGCTTGTCCTCTTCCTCGGGTGGCAGCCCAACTGGTGACTCGGCAAGCCACCGTTCCACTTCCAGTCCCTTCTGTGGTGGGTGCTCCTGCAAACCCTTGAAGTCTGAATCCCACGGGCTCCGGGGTGTGTGCTGCTGAGGGGGCCCTTCTGGCTCCTCCAGTCCTTCGCAGAGGAAAGTGCTCTCTCGTTCCTCGGGGTACCGTGTGTGGGCGCCCTGGCTGTCCATCTCGTGAGGGAACCAGACCTTTCTCTCACAGCTCAGCTCCCTCCAGTATGTGTCTTGTTCCAGAGCCACATCTTCTCTGTCCCTCCAGTACCTGACCTCCTGCTCAGGGGACGTCTCCTCCCATGCAGGGACAGGCTCCTTCTGTTCTCCAGCTGGCTTCCCTCGGGTTGGAGATGCTTGCCACTCCCGGGCCACATCCCTCTCCTTCCAGGACTTCTCTTCCTGCTCTCTGCCCTTGTCCTCCTCCACAGGTCTGTCTTCCAGCCCCAGTGCTCTGGTCTTCTCCAGCAAAGCTTCCTCCTGTCCCACAGCAGTGACACTCTCTGGAGCTTTTTTGTCTAGAGTGGTCTCTTTTAGTTTCACGCTTTTATCCTCCTGCTCAAAGCTCTCCTGCCTCTGAGTTTTGTCCTTTTCTTCTAGAGCTTTATCTTGCTGTTCAACAGCTGTCTTATTTTGTTCTAGAGCTTCATCCTTTTCTCCTAAGGCCCAGTATTTTTGTTCTAAGGCTTGATCTTTCTTTTTGAAGACCTCATCCTTCTGTTCCTGGGCCTCATCTTTATGTTCAGGGGTTTCGCCTGTCTGTTCCAGGACTTTGCCCTGTGTTTTAGGAACCTTGTCCTCTGGGGCCTTGTCTTTAAGTTCAAAGTCTTGCTCTTTTGGCTCTAAGGCTTTGTCTTCCTCTTCTGCAATCTTGTCCTTCTGTTCTAAGAGCTTGTCTTTTTGTTCGGAAGCTCCCTGTTTTTGTTCTTTGTCCTTTGGTTCCTGGGCCTGAACCTTGAGTTCCAGAGCTGTATCCTTTGGTTCTAAGGCCTGGTCTTTCTCTCCTGGGATCTTGTCCTTCTGTTCTAAGACCTTGTCTTTTTGTTCTAAATTGCTGTGTTTTTGTTCTTTCTCTTTTGGCTCCAGCGCCTGGTCCTTTTGTTCCAGAGCTGTGGCCTTGTCTTTTTCTTCTGGAAGCCTGTCCTTTTGCTCTAGGACCTTGTCTTTTGGTTCTAAGTCTTTGTCTTTTGCCCCCAAGGTCTTGTCCTTGTGCTCCAGGGCAGCGTCCTTTTGTTCTAGAGCTGTAGCCTTGTCTTTTTCTTCTGAGACCATGTCCTTCAGTTCAAGGACTTTGTCTTTCTGTTCTTTATCTTGTGATTCCAAGACTTTCTCCTTCTGTCCTAGGCCTGTATCCTTTTGGTCTAAGTTTATGCCTTTTTGTTCTAAAACCACATCCTCTGATCCCACAACCTTATTCTTTTCCTCCAGAGCCTCGTCTTTATGATCCGTGGCTGTATCCTTCTCTGCTACAACAATGCTCTTCTGTTGCAAAGTTTTATCTTTCTGCTGTAGGACTTCCTCCTGTGGCTCAGGTTCCTTGTCCTCCTGCTCAGGGGTTCTGTCTTTCAACCCTGGAACTCTATCTTCCCATTCCTTGGCAATGTCTTCCATGTCAGGGCTTGGCAAAGACTCAGGACTCTTAGTGAGGGAGCTACTGGGTGTCAGAATGTGCTCGCCAGGGCTTGTGATCACCCCAGGTGAACACTTCCCATCTCCAGACTGGGCAGAGTGAGGGGAGCTGGCAGGTAGCTTCCTGTCAGGGCTCTCCTCGGTGATATCTGCCTGTGCAGAGTATCCAGTGACCCCATCTATGGGAGATGACACCATGGCTTCATAGGGCTCTGGAATGGACACAGGAGCTAGGTGGCAGGAGACATCCTCAGCCTGCATCAGAGGCTCTTTTTCTTCCTTTCCAAGGCTGAGTTCGCCAAACTGGAGGGTACCAAGGCTTTCTGGAGAGAGCTGCTTTGAAGAGATATCCAGAGAAGTCTCCTTGCTGGGACTCTCTTCTGAGACAGAAGGAGACTGGGTACCTTCTGGAGATACCTCTGGCCATAGGTCTTTATGTAGGTGCTGCTCTGTCAGGTCACAGGGTGACCTGGGAGTGGGCTCTTGTTTGGCAGTGTCTGGGGAAACCACACTGAGGACAGAGAGGGACTCTGCATCTTCAGGGGAGAGGCTTTGGTCAGGAATTTGGAGCACCTCATCTTTCTGGGATTCTCCAGGTTCCTGGAGTGATGTCCTCAATTCCCTGGGAAGGGCTTCTGCCTCCTGAATTGGGCCTGGGAACCCAATTCCCACCTCCATAGTCTCATCTCCCTCCATTGTCTGAAAGACTATTGCTTTGTCTTGTTCTGGCAACAGCTGGATGGTGCAGCCTGTATGTCCCCCAGCAATACTGATGGGTGCTTCCTGGGCCTGGGGACTCCTGGGAGGAACCTCTTTCCCCTCCTTCTCTAGTGAGCCCTCTTCAGGCCCTGGCTTGGCTGTCTCCGTTTCCTTTGCAGCATACTCCGTGCTCATACCTGGTGTGTGCTTAGAATCTCGCCAAGATTCTTCTTGAAAATCTTGGGGCTCAGACTTGTCTTCCACGGGGGACTGATGAAAGGGTGTGTGGGTGGCACTAGGGGGGCCAGATGGCGGAGGGGAGGCCATCTTCACCGTGCTGTCATCTGGGCTGAGGCACCGCTCCTCTGCTTCTCCAAGGGCAGCTTCCCCTGGATGTGTGGCATGCCCAGGGGCACCAAACACTGGGGCTCCATACTGACCGCAAAGTTTCTCAGATACTTCCGCATGTGCCCTCTCCTCCTTTTCCTCTTCCATGGCTCTCTCCGCAGTTGAACCTCTCCCTATGACCTCTCCCCTTCTCTCTGATTCTCCAGTCACAGAGAAGTCCTCACAGGGAGGTGATTTGAAGCCCTTGTCTTCTTCTAGTGAGGAGGTGGGGGAGATGGTTCCCGCCGATGGCACATAGTCCAAACCCTGCGTGGCTTCAGTGCGGGACGAGGGGATGCTTGTGACTGTGTCAAGCAGCAGGGAGCTCTTGCCCGTTTCCTCTGTCTGGGGAGCTGTGAGCGACGCCACAGACTGGTCCTCAGCCACTGAGGTGGCGAAGGAAGAAAGTTTGTCACATTCAGTGATAGAAGTAGCCGAGGACACATGTTCCTCTTCAGCCAGAGGGGCGGCCACGATGTTGGGAGGGTAGGTGAGTTCAGTCTCTGGTGCTCCATAACTTTTGCTTGAGGCGGCAGGAACAGCACCATCCACAGGCTGGCTGGCATCAAAGGGGCCAGGACCTTCAGGCCCAGGAAGGTCGTATGTACTTGCTGGGAATCTGGGAGGAGCAGGGCGTTCCTCTGGCTCATCATGGATCTCCTCATCTGAGATGGTCTGCTCAGTCTCTGAGTAGCCAGGGATTGTCTCATCCTGGATATACGAGACATGCTCCGTGGCCCCAGCAGGTGTGGCCAGGCTGCTTAGGAACGACGAGGTCTCCTTCTCAGGGGCCTTGCCATGGAGTCCCAGTTCCCGGCCCCCGAGAGCTTCCCTGCCCTTTGGGATGACTTTCAAGGCTTCCTGCATATGTTTTTGATAAAATCCCTCCGCCTTTGTCTCTTCCTCTTCCTCTTCTTCGGAAGGGTGCACCTCCTCCATTTCTTCTAACTCAGCCTTTTCTATCACATCCTCCTTTACCTCAGGTTCGCTTTCCTCCCTGGCTTCCGCTCTCTCTGGGAGCCTCTCTGCTTCCCTCTGCTTCTTTTCCTCCCAAGTTTCTTTCTCCTCCTCAGTTTCAGCCCCGCTGTCTGGGCCTCTGTCCTTGCTGCCTTGTTCCTTAGCAATGGTAGGGAACACTTCCTTCTCCTTCATCACATGCTCTTCCCGTTCCAGCCCTAGGGCAGAGGATTGTGTTCCCTGCATAGCTATGCTTTGGGGTCCCTCCTCTGTCCTATCAAGAGGGAGTGGTTTTTCTCCTAGTCCTGAATCCTTTTGTTCCCTCTCCTCACGCTTCATCTCCTCAAAATCCAGTGTGAGGTCTTCCGGTGAAGAGAGCACCAGCTCCCTGTGTCCACTGACAGGTGGGGATGGCACAGTACCCTTCTGAGCTGGGGGTGTCCGAGGCTCAGAAGACAGCTCCTTCTCCCCCCGGGCAGCACGGCTCTTGTCCACCTTGATTCTTCCAGGGGCCTTCGCTTTGTAGAGGGTCTTACGTACCTCAGGGGTAAAGGGCTTCAGGTCTGGTTTGGAAATCTTCTTGACCTCAAGTTTGGTGTCTTTCCTCTTCTCCTCTTTCTTAGCATCCTTCTTCTCCTCCTTCCTTCCTTCATCCTTCTTGAGCTCCTTCCTCTCCTTCTTGATCTCTTTTTTCTCCTTGTCTTTTTTCTCATCCAGCTTTGATATCTTCTCTTTCAGGTGCTTCTTCCCTACCTTGTCTTTGATCAGCTTTCGTTTCTCTGCCTTCAGTACCTCGCTTGACTCTGTCCTCACCCTCTCAGGCTTGGTAGGCTTCTCTGGGGGCTTCTCAGGTGGCTCTTTTGCTTTTTTCTCTGTCTTGGCTAACTCCTTGGCCAGCTCTGAGCGGGCCTCCTTGGCGCCTTCCTCCGCCACTTCCTCCCGCTTGGCCAGCTTGCTCACTACGGTCTTGGTAGCAGCTTTGAGGCTCTCCTTGCTGTCAGTCCGCTGTTTGATTTTGCTGGGTTTCAAGTTGGCAGGCACTGCCCCAGCAGCCAGGTCTTTCTGTGTGGCCACAGGGTAGCGCAGAAAGTCTAGATGCCGGAGCTTTTCTAGGCCCTCCAAGATCTTGTTCTGGGGAGCATTTCCTGGAAAGAGTACACGCACAATCTTCTCAGTGGGGTTAGCTGGCAGCCAGACCACCAGGGCAGTGATAGAGGTCAGGTAGGGCACCGAGATCTCAGCCTCCTTCCCATTGGCCAGCACGATGCCCGTCTTGGCTTTACTATTGCCTGCCCACTTCTGCATAAGAAACTGCATCTCCTTGCTGTCCTTGACAGGGTTGAGAACATACATGTCCAGCCGGCCCACGCCCATTTTGTGGAAGAGGGTCAGTGGCTCAATGGTGTTGCTGACCACACGGTAGAGAGGCTCGGCCTGGATGCCCAGGCGGTTTAGGTGCTGAAGGGTGAGGCAAGCCTCCTCAATGCTGCGCTTCGCCTTCCGGGAGGCATCAGGCAGCCGCAGCTTATCGGGCACATTAAAGAAAACCACACCGAGTTCAGGGGAGATGAGGTTCTTCACCCAGTCGCTGTAGCTGCTGGAGCCCTGGGACTGCTCCTCCTCTAACTCTGCCACTTTGCGCTGCAGGAGTCCGTTGATGCCTGGCAGGTTGTCTGCCCCAATGTGGGTGAGCAGCACCGAATCAATGCGGTCTAGGTGCCGCACCAGCTTCCAGAAGCAAGACTTGCGATCGGAGCCCCCATCCACCAGGATGTTGAATCCATTGACAGCAAAGAGGGCTGAGTCCCCACGGCCACCTGGGAAGATGTAGCAGCAAGGCTTGGAGAGCTTGAGGAAGCCCCCTGAGGTGGGGGGCTCAAGCAGGTCAAAAGGAGATGGAACATCCACAGTCTCAGAGACGTACTCGGAGAACTCGGCCACGCCATCCATGGTGGGTAGCGCGGGCTCAGGGTTCAGCCGGAGATGCAGGGTCTCTTGGGAACTGGACAAGCCCAGGTGGCTCCAATCACCCTCCCCTATGCAGGACACAGTGAGGAGAGCCTGGATCCCAGGGTCTCTATTGCTGAACAACTGGGCAATCTAGAGGAATGGGAGATAGAAGCTGATCAGGTCACTGGGGTTGTCTTAGCCTGACTCGACTTAGCCCCTAATGTCACCTCTCTCCAAGGTGGACTCTTCCTTTCCTATCAGGGCCCCCAAAATCCAGCAACGTGAGACTTTCCCTTCCATGGATTCCTCCTATAGCTCCAGTCCTGCCCCTCTCCCCTTCTTCCCAGGCCCTCAGCTGTTGATTGAACTTACCTCTGGGTTGTGAAGGACCTGGGCGAAGTCTTGATAGGAGTAGGTACCGCTCTGCAGGATGAGGTCTCCCCCAGGCTCTAGACTCTGCCCGCTTAAGATGAGTAGTTTGTGAGCCGATGGGTTGCTAAGGAGATGGTGAACCTGGAGTGGAAGGAGGGCTGTGGTTACCGATGAGGGGAGCCCAGAGAGAGGTACTGACTTCCTTACCGCAAGGACATGCTCCCCACTGGTCCCCACAGTGGCCCCGCAGCCAGTCTGGATGGCAGAGGCTTCTTGGCCTTCAAGTGCCAGCACTGGCAAGGGCTGGTCACAGCACATGCAGCCAGGCACAGGCCCTGGCCTTACCTCAGAGCTGATGCTGTCTGCACTGGGGTTTACCAGGATGACGGTCTCTAGGGTGTCGCTCTGGTGGCAGAGGGTCCTCTGGCCTGAGAGAGAGATGTAGGAACTCGTATTGAAGAGAATGGGTATTGACTACAATGCAGCAGCGTTGTGTAGGGCCCGAGAGGAAAGCAGGCATGATTGGAAAATGAGATTTAGGGAGGAGAGAAGCCTGCTTATCTTCAGACTCTGCCACCTCGGATACTGGCAAATCAGGTCTGAGAACTGGGTCCTCTAGCAGCCTTTTCCCTTTAGGGTTTCCCGCTCTGCTCTCCTTTCCCACACTAGCTGTCTTCTCCCTCCCTTTATCTGCCACACCCCCTGCTGCCCATGCCCCCGCCCCTCTTTCCGGAACTCTGCCTCAGATGCCCTGTTGACAAGAAGCTTTTGTCCCTGTGGAGCACTGAGCTCCTGGTGCTGCCTGGAGATGCGGAGCTCCGCTGGAGAGAGGGCTCCAGCCTGACTGAGCCTTCTCCTTGCTAGCTTGCCTTTGCCCTGGACTTTCTGCCAGCAGAGTGCCTAGGAATAAGGAGATGGGAACTTTGGGGAAGTGTCCACAGACTCCCCTTTGCCTTCCCAAATCCCCACCTCAGGCCCGAATGCCTGTGCCGAGAGACTCAGAGAAACCTGCGTTATCTCAGCCTGTTGGGGTTTTCCAATTCAAGGAGCGGACACGGGGTTCTCATTTGTGGCTCCATTCTCTGGCTCCTCAGTGGCCAAGCCTGCACCCACTCACATGCATACTGTTGCTGCCAGAACTGCTTCACAGCTCCTCTCCCACTGCGCCTTCCCGTTCCAGGCGCCAGAGAGGCCTGCTTCACCATCCCACAACCCATTCTGCGAACAGTTTCTTTGCTCATCCTTTCTTCCCTCTTACGGGCCTTCTGCCATGAGATGGGGAGTGAAGCGTTCACAAACAAGAAACACAGAAGGAAGGAAGGAGACCCGCAGGGTGTTCCCCAGGCCATGGAGAAAAAGAAGACATCCCCCCCCACACACCCGCTCCCTACCGACTGCCCTTCTGTGGATCACAGAGACATCAAGACACACAGCAAAGAAATTGGCAGGGCAGGCAGGGATGCTGAGGAAGGATGCTACTGTCCCGGCTCTGCCCTCACCCCATGCGCAATCCCTTCCCAACTGTAGCCACGTCAGAGCTAACCTTCCAGATAACAGACGAGTTATCTGGATGAGACTAGGGGGAGAGTTCATAAATCTACTCCTGGCTCACTCCTGTAGCCCAACTCTTTTCTTTCTGGGACTCAGAAAGAGGAACCTGGATCCAGGGGCTTTGTTCAGAGGGAGAGTTACAGGGCCGGGATCAAGCAGATCTGACAGCACGGGGCTGCAGATGCAGCTGTGGGGAAACAATGTGGATGGTGTCAGAAGACCAAGTCCCATACAGGATGTGCTCGGCCCAAGAGAAGGCCAAGGGTCCTCGTCTATGGACTTGGGAATTGAGGGAACCTTTGAGGTCAGTTAGAGGGTGACAGCCACCTCGGAGGCAAGCAGAGACAGGGCTTGGGCAAGTCAGCAAGCTGCCAGCCTTGAGTAGCTGTTTTAGGAGAGGAAGGACTACCCACACACAAACAAGGTGACAATCGTGAGCTCCGCAGGGCTGAAAGAGATAGCTATGGTCTGAACTGATTTGCTTTCTATCTATCACCCCTACCTGCACAGCTTCACAGTCAGGACTTCTCTGACCCCAGGGTCTATCCTGGTAGAAGACCCCACCTGTGATCCTAACCCTATTCCTGGGGAGCAGTTCTGACTTGCAACACATGGTTTATATCCTGCACCCCTCTTTCTCGGGCCTAGGGGAGAGCCCTGTTTCTCATGTAGCCTGACTTGTCTTTCCTTTTTCTTTGGAGCGGGGTCTCTCTTGGGGCAGGGGGACTCTCCTCAGCTGGGAGTGGGGCTCTGGCGGGTGGCAGGGAGCTGAGGCCAAGCAGGCAGGAGGGCAGGTGTCTCTGCAGTGAGGCAGAAGGGAGGGGGCGCCCGGGCAGCTGCAGTGTGCCGCAGTGTGTGAGTGTGTGTGAGTGTGCGCGCTGAGCTCAGCCTCCAGCTCCGCCCCCACCCCCCACCCCAGCATGACAAGTCATTTTCTTGGCTGCCTCTGCATGGGGGGGTGGGGATGGGGGGGGGAGTGGAGAGGAAGAAGAAACGGGCTCCTCTGTTCCAGAGCCCCCATCTTGGGAAGAAGAGCAGAGATGGGGTGGGGGTGGGGCCAGCTGGCCTGGGAATGTGGGGCAGCTGCTGGCAGGGAGTGCTCTGTCTCCGGAGTGGCCTCAGGGGGGCTAGAAAGGGGCCTTGGAGCGCCAGTCTCAAGCTGGCCACAGGAACTGGGGTGGCAGAGCCCGTGCAAACCGGCGGACTGTGAGGAGGCGCGTGCCATGTCTGGATGACCTCTCCTTCCTTCTTTTTCGTAGTGTTCCCCACCTTCCCTTACTTGGCAAAATCTCACTGCCCCATCACCCCACATGGAGCAGCTGAGCAATCCACCAGCTGACAGCCGGGGACCCTCCCATGAGGCGCATTCCCATAACCTCTCCTTCTCAGAATCTCCTGCCTCTTGCCAAAAACAGAGCCCCCAAACTCCGCCGACCCCTGGCTACCTCGCAAGGCCAGCGGAACCACGCGGGTGCTACCCCAGCCACGTCTCCCGCCCCCGCCCAGCTGGAGGGGCGGCCTGTCACAGCGCCGCAGGCCTCCTCCTGAGCCCAGGTCCTGGCCACCCGACCCCAGCCAGTCATGCTCGTTTCTTCTCTTCATTCCCCAAGCCTGCCCACCCTGCTGGCCAGCTCCAGACACACCGAATCGCCAGGTATTGGCTCCCTTCCTGAGACCCCATCCCACCTCTCCGTCACAGCACCCTCACCCCTGCCATGCCAAGCCCTTCGGTCGGTTCTCACCCAGGGGTGTGAGAGGGAGCCCCTCATGGAGGCGGCCACTCCGGCCTCAGCCGGCAGCTTCAGCACAGAGTCTGCGGCACTTGGGGTGGGGGGGAGGGCTTGGTGGGAGGGCGGTGCCGGGGCGGGGATGAGGGCTGGTCCCTGACGAGGCACTGGAGACTTAACCATTTCTTTGCCTTCACAATGTCAGTGCTCTAGGGTGTCTGCTTGGCCTTGGGGGCTTAGGGATTGTCTAGCAGTTCAAAGGGCCGGGGTGATCTCCCATGGCCTGCAGTACCCTTCTCGCAACCCTGCTTAGTTAAGAAACATTCTTTTCACATCAGGCGAAAGACCAGAGCCCTGCACTAGGGCTCAGAGTAGGGATGCAAGAGCTCTGCCCGGGCCCTCCCGCTTCTCTTGGCAACCATCTGCTACCTCCCCTTCAGAGGGACCCGGGGAGTGACCTTCAGTCCCCGCAAGGGCAGGAGACAAAGGGGGAGTGGGGCAAAGCAGGGGGGTGATGCCCAACTGAGCCTCCTTCTGAACCAGGGCTATAGAAACAAAGACAGGCGGAAATCCGGCTCACTTGGGGGTGAGGGCGGTTTGAAATTGTGAAGTAGACACAGTCCCTAACCACGGGGTGGGACACAGGGACACAGGGAGCTGTATGCAGGCCTGTCCAGCAGCACAGCACAGCAACTACAGGGGCACTGACCCTCAGGACTCCTAGTCACGGGGAGGAAGTGTCTAAAGGGCTAGGGAACTTCCGCCTTTCAGTGAAGGAGTTAACAAGGACTGAGGGGAATCACGAGGACCTAAGACTCAAGCAAGGTTTTCTTACTAGGGGGGAATTATTAAATGCAGCATAAAGTGCTATCAGCATAAATAGCAATCTTGGCCCTTAATATGTACCTCAGTCACAGACAACGAAGTGTCTGTCGCAGAACTCACAAAAAGGACCTAGACGGCTCTAGCACTCACTCCCAATGGGTGTGCCTCTGCTTTCCCTCTCAGTTCTTCCCATTAACCCTCCCCAGCCTGGCCAGCTCCTAGGCTCTTGGCACAGTGACTTCCACCCACACTCACCCCAGCACCAGCCCCACCCTTGCCCCTGGCTGCCAAGAGCTCCCTTTGAAGGTCAGAGAAGCCAAAATAGTCTCTGCTCTCAGCATCTTCCATCTTCCCTTGACTGCAGCCAGAGGAGAGGAGGAGCTGAGTCACCAGTACCCTTAGGGGGCTAGCGGGAGGAATCCTTGCTCAGATCCGGGGATGCAAAACAGTAACATGGCAACAGCCGCATTTGGATAGAAGAGGGCATCTGCAGAGACACACAATGCAAACCAGGCTGATTTCCTGAGCATGACAAAAAGGAAATACCTCCCTTCTGCAACTTCATATTTCTTATTTCTTCCCACCTCAAGCCTTCTTTCTCCTCTCTGCTTTCTAGAGCTCTTTGGAGTCTAAGGAGGGAAATTTGAGTAGACATCTGGCTTGGGAACAAATGGTTTCAGCCCAGTGCAGGGCCCACCTTTATTCCCAGCTGCCACCCTCAACGGCCACACCTGGGGCCTGGTTTCCCCTCACTATGACATTTTCCTTTAGTCTTCACCCTTTCAACAGCCACTCATAACCAGTCCTCAACTCGCTATGTCCCTTGGCCCTGTTGTGATGTAATGGTGAGATGCCAAAGAAGAGAAAGAGGCTTGAGCACAGGCAGGAAGTGAGATCAAAAGCACTGGATTGCCAGGCATAGTGGCGCATACCTGTAATCAGCACTCGGGAGGCTGAGGCAGGAGGATCAACATGAGTTCAAGGCCAGCCTGGGCTACATAGCAAGTTCCAGGCCAGCCTGAAGTACATAATGAGACGCTGTGTTAAAAAATAGCCCTGGATTTGAGACCTGATTCCACCATTTTACCAATCATGCAGCTAAACAAGTCACTCACCCCCTCTCAGAGCTTGCTTTCAGAACTATAAGATGAGTGTGATGTTAGTATCATCCTCCAATAATGCGGTGAGGATTGATTGACATAAAAGAGGAAGAAGTGCTCCTTCATTCCTAGGATCCTAAACTTGAAAGGTACAAAAGCCTCTGAAAGTGTGCTCTTGGTGGAAGACATTTCAGAATTCACTTGGTGATTAGGGAAATTCTAAATCAAAATCTGAGACTACACCAACCCAGGGGTACCCCAGCCTCTCAGTTAACCCTGAAGTGGAGATTTGAATGTCTGCTCAGGCTCCCGCTTTTCCATTTCAGGGAGCAGTGCAACCCTCAGTTCCAGGAGCCTGGGCCACGAAGTAATAGACCAGTCCTTCCCTCAGCACATCAGTCTTAACAGTCTGAGGGCTTCCAATGGTGCCTCAGCCTGTGTGTTTGAGAGTCTTAAAATAGCAATCTTCCCTTTTCTACGGGGGCTCAATAGTATGAGAGTTTTATTGAAACTCAGTTTTTTTTTCTTTTCCTTTTTGCCATCCTAGGGTTTGAACCCAGATCTTTATGCCTGCTAAAGCAGGCACCAAACCTCTGAGCTACCCCCAGACCCCAAACTCAACTTTCTGTTGTCCCAGTTCTTTTTCAGTTTGTATCACTGGCTCAGGAACTCCAGGGTTTTTCTCTGGAAGTTACAAATCCCTGGTGCGGAAAGCCATCTCGGAGAGCTTTACCAGACTTGACCACTAGAAGGAGCTGGGCCACCCGCACCGGTGGGATGGAGGGTCCCTTCTTTTCTAAGGGTGGCTGAGAGAATGTGGAGGGGGCGGTGCCTAGGGAAAATTGCACACTTCCTGTCATCGTAGGATGCGGTTTTTTTGTTCCTTTTTTCATTTTGGTCCAGGGCTTGAGAATAGGGATGGAGGCCCAGCCTGTAGGGTAGGCAGAAAGGGTCAAGTCCTAGGGAACTATCAATCTCCTTGAACCCATCCCAGCATCCGGGTTCCCTTGGACCGGCTTTCTGGAGGCTGAAGGGAGGGGCAGTGTCTGCAGCTGCTCTGGGCTGACTGTTGTTTGTGGGGACAGCTGAAAGCGAAGCCAGCAGGGGTGGGGCTGTGGCAGTCTTGAGCCGCGCCTGTGGTTTTTTCCAGGAAATTCTCCACTATTCTCCAGGGACAAAGACGGGCCACCATGAAAATGTCCAAACCTAAAAAAATTCAGTATACTAAAATAAGCCCTCATCTTAGGTGTATGGCCCTAAGACCCTTAAAGACATCATAGCAAAACTCTTTGATTGAAAAGGTCAGGAGCTGTTTTTATAGCAGTGTCTGTTTCTGAGGAGTGCTGAGAATAATTATACATCTCCCTGTAAGCCTCTTCCCAACATCTCTTCTTAATCTGAAGAATGGCCAAGTACTTTGTTTTACATTCTCTTCATTTCTTACATCCCTCCAGAAAACAGCCAGCTGGACGAAGTTGGAGAATTCAATGTAAAATATTAATATCAGCAGATAATCTGCAAATTCCAACTGAGTCTTTCAAATTTCCTTAACTTCATCCTCTGTCATCCCCTCCCCCAATCTTACACTAAAGTGTTAAGAATACTAAGTGGTAAAACTGTTGATTGTCAAGCATCAGGGATAATAGACGAAACTATGACATTAGTAATTTCTAAGAAAGCAGTCTCAAAAGAATGCCTAAATACAGAAAGCCAGTTGTACCATAAAGATGCCACCCTCACATTTTAAAAATTGCTGTACATATTGCTAGCACAATAGAACCTTAGTCATATCAGGCTTGTTTTCTCCAACTTTCCAAGAGCATCTTTAGAGCAGTCAATGATTAAGAAATTACCAGTGGGGGGCTGGGGATTTAGCTCAGCGGCAAAAGCGCCTGCCTGGCAAGCGCAAGGTCGTGAGTTCGGTTCCCGGTACCGGAGAAAAACCAAATAAATAAATAAATAAATAAATAAGAAATTACCAATGATCTGACAGGAGGAATAGGAAGTACCTACCACACTGGATAATTGAGACTTATCTGTATGAATTCAGTTATCTGGTGGCAGTGGCTGTTGCGCCACCTGGATTTCACATTCAGTAAAACTACATGGATTGGGACATGAACATTTACCCGTAACATGACTAGATGCCTGGCACTTTTATAATGGGATATAGGACCTTCTGCAGTTTCCCTATAGACATGTCATATAATGCCAGTTCCTAAAATCTTTTCTCAAATTTCTAACCAATTTCTCCCACCCAGCAGAATGGGAAACTGCATTCCATAAGCTTTGACCTCAGAGGCAAACCTCAGTACAACGGGCTTCTTGCAGCATCGAATCCAGGAAACTCTTCATCCTTGCTGGGGATGGAACTCAGGATATCGAACACGCTAGCAAGCACTCTGTCACTGAACTATACCCCAGCACCCCCTTTAAAACAAAATTTGAGCTGGGAGTGGTAGTGCACGCCTGTAATCCTAGCACTCAGGAGGGTGAGGCAGGAGGATCGGTGTGAGTTCGAGACCAGCCTGGGCTACAAAATGAGCTCAAGGCCAACCTCAACTGCACAGGGAGACCCTGTCTCAAAAAAGACAAAAAAAAAAATTTGAGATAGAGTCTTGCTAAGTTGCCCAGGGTAGTCTGAAACTTGTGATCTTTCTGCCTTGGTCTTCCAGAGTAGCTGGGATTGCAGGCGTATGCAGGCATTGCTACCAGGGTTCTGTTCTGCTCTAGAGATCTGTTGGCTAAGCCAAAGGAGGAAACAGGATCCTTGCAGGGAAGATGCATGGGACCTTCTGGGTCTCTATAAAGGGAAGCAGGGAGGCTAGGGTATATGGAAAGGGGAGCACAAACAAAAAGTGGAGTTCTGCAGGGAGGTGACTGATCAGTCAAGAGCAGAACCTCATTTCCTCAGTGCATGCCAACAGCTGTCCACAATCAATCCTCTTCTTGGAGAAATTGGGTTCTCCAGGTTTCCTCCACCACCATACCGTGTGTCCCAAAGTGTGCTGAGTATGGAGGATTGCCGAGGAGCTCGGAGACCTTCCCATCAGGAAGTTGTCCCTCCCTTTCCCCCACCCAAGCCTCCCACAAGGCCAATTCTGCCAGAAAGACCAGACCTCTGCGCCTCTGTGACCGGCCCTCACCCGAAGGACTGAGACAAATGACAGTCATCCTAACCTTTGATCTCTGAGGAGAAGTGAGCTAGGTGCCGAGTAATGAAGAGTCTCAACTGCTGGTTCAAGTCAAAAGATGACAAGTCAATGTTCCAGGAGAGAATCCCTGTGAGAAAAAAAGAAACAGAGGATTCTAGATGAAGTCTGGACCCTGGGACTGCAGGGAGCACTTTCAAGCTCACAGAAGGGGGAAGGAGGAGAAGATAAGGACAGCTGCCATAATCAGCATCACTGATGTCTTTAAGAAGGAGATCTAGGACCTTTGTCTACCTTCTACTCTGAGCCCTTCTCTTGCCTGAGCTGGGGAGAAAAGGACACAGTTGAGACTAAACTTGTCATTAATGAGTTTATCGGTAGCAATTTTCTTGCAAGGTTGCCCAGTTGGGGTAGAAGTGACACCCCAGGGCCTCTGCCCAGATACTGTGGGCTGCCTTCAGCTGGTTCCTACAGTTATTCTAGATTCTCCTCTCTGCCCCGATCCTGGCCTCCACCCCTCCATGGCTTGCTTCCACCCGCAGGTGGCTCCGCAGCACTGCGCCACAGGCGCAGGGGAAGGAGGTGAGACTGAGATGCTGGAGCCACGAAGGTCACTCTCTCCAGCTGGCTGCCAGCATTCGGAGATTTAAGATTTGTACTATCCATTCAAAAAGCACACTGTGGCAGTTTCAGAGACACTAAAGAAGAAACCATAAGGTAGGGACATGGACTCTCCAGGGGATAGTGAGGACTTTCAGGACATCTGGAGAAGGGCAGTGCAGAGACCCTGCGGGAGAGAGGAGTGACCAGAGCAGCCCCAGGTGCCTCACCGAGCTGCTGCTCTGTTCGGGGAGACTGCGGAACGCCAAGGGGGTGCGGGAAGAATGGGGAGGCAGGGGTGAGCGGCGGGAGGATGCGGACACGTGGTGGGGAAGGTGCAGGTGACACGGGATGGAGGGTGCAGATGCGCGGGCTGGGAGGTGAATGCAGATGGCGGAGAGGGACGGGACATAGGTGCTGCGGTGCAGACAGTCAGCGGCTCACCTTGCTCTAGGTGGGCCCGCACGGCCCTCAGCTGACTCTCGGTCCCGATGTCGCCGATCACAATGAGCAAAGAGTGTTTCCTCGGGTCCCAGCGAGCAGCTGCCACTGCGGCTCGAGTCTCGCACCGGGGCTCCACAGGGTTCTGAGCCGACGGAGAGCCCGGGCCTCGGAGCCCCAGCCCCGGAGCCGTCTCCATGGCAACGTCGCCAGGCCGCGCGGGCCCGGCTTCCGTCTCCATGGAAACCGCGGTGGAGTGCGAGGCCGGCGGCGTCCGCAGCGGGGAGAGCGCGCGGCTCTTAAAGGCCGGGGCGGGGGCCGCTCATTGGCCGCTGCCCTCCAGGGGGCGGGGCCGGGGCTGCAGGGGCGGGGCCGGAGGGCGGGTCGCGGGGCTCTGCGGTCCTGGGCCGGGAGCGGCTGCGCTGGGCCGCAGCTTCCCGGGAGCACCTGCTCGGCTGGAGCCGCTTGTCGCAGGCTGCGTCCAGTGAAGGCGCCGTCTGGCGGCTCCGCGGCTGGGGAGCCATCTTGTCAGCGTCCGTCTCCTCCGTGCCTGAGCATCCGTGTGGCGCAATTTGTTATTTTTCTCTCTGTTATTGGCCGTCAAGGTCCTGTCCCAGCCTCGGTGTCCCCGCCCTTGCCCCAGGCCCTCGAGCGCTCAGCGAGGCGCAGTCCCAGAGGGGACAGAATGACCTTCCGGCCAACCGAGTGTCTGGAGCTGTTACCGCGCAAACGGTGGCTGGCTCCTCTCCATCCCTGTGAGCGCACTGAGCGCAGACTGCAGCAAGGGAGTCTGAGGGAAAAGCCGGGACAGCGTCTCGACCGCCGGCGAGGTGACGGGCGAGACGCGAACCCTAGGAGGCTGTCACAGCTGAGCCTGGGAGTCCTCACAACAGAGGTCCGGGGTCTGAGCCAGGAAGAGGTGACAGTTCTAGAATCGGAGAGGCAGAGGGTGGGAGAGAACCGAGGAGGCCAGGCGCTGAAAGTCCTTTAACCGCGTGCGGGATCCATCCCACAGTCTCCACCCCGGTTCTGCGCTCCAGCATCTTCTCCCCAGGACGCAGAGTCATTCTGCATGTGCTTGTGGCAGAGGGATAGCCCGTTCTCACACTGAGGCGTCAGCAGGCCTTGTTTGGTGGCCAGCTACCTGGCATTTTGGGGATGGCACAGGGAGAAAGGAGCACTGTACGTGATTCAGCAAGGCTGCCCGTGGCCGCGTTCTGACTGGCGGTGTGTGCAGGTGAGGTAACTCAGGGCAGCCCTGGTCCCTGAGATGGAACATGTGTTGTAGCAAAACATCCGATCCATCCGATCACCAATTGTGGGTTTGTTTGTTTTTTTCCCTGTCTTTTGTCTTTTCTTCTGGTATCAGGAATCGAACTCATGACCTTGCGCTTGCCAGGCAGGCGCTTTGCCGCTGAGCTAAATCCCCAGCCCCCACTCACCAATTTGGACATGGCCCTGAAAATCCTTTCTGTAACGGAAAGGAAGAAAGACCACCCCACATGACACAATGTTCTACTAACTTCTCGCCATCCCTCACCAAAGGGAGATCCGAATATAGAAAAGAGCGTGGAGAGATGTGCGGGCCTCTTTTGCAATCAGGAATACGTGCCACGTGGAAGCAGAGAGCCAGGATGGGTTGTACAGGGAGTAAGGGACAGTTTCCATAGCAACCATAGTAATGAGGCTTTGAACTACCGTGGGGTCTCAGCATAGGGGTCAGGCGCAGTTACTCACAAGACTTGCTTTCAAGTCTAACAAAGAGGTTAGAAAATAGATCTGAGTGATTCAGAGAAGGGTCACACACTTATGAGGAGAGGGTAGGGGCGAGAATTCAGGGCTGCTATCTCAGGTTCTGCTAGGATGGGGTTTTATTAATGCAGCTGCAAAGGCAGACTGTGAGGGTACTAAAGTCACACATGTGTGGCGATGATATTCAGCAGGTCTTTTGCCAAAGGCAGACGATGTCACAGAAAGACTGGCAATGGGAGCCTCTCAATTATCCTCCTCTTCCCTTGGTCAACAGTATCTCAGCCAGGCACAATGGTGCATGCATGAGATTCCAGCACTCAGGAGGCTGAGGCAGGAGGTCATAGTGAGTTGAAGATCAGCCTGAACTGTATAGTGAGACCCTGTCTCAAACAAAAACAAAAACAAAGAAAAAGAACATTGTGGATGCTATGTTATCATCTGTGCTCCAGAGTTTTATAATTTAAGACAGAAAGCACTGATGCATATATGTATGAGACATGGAGAGCTGGATAACAATTTTTAAAAATATATGATATAGACATACATTGCTCCATATATACATATGTATATATATATATGTATGTGTATTTGTGTGTTGGTGTGGTATGGGTGGTTAAACCTGGGGTCCTCACACTGAACCTTATCCCTGGGCCATCTTTTAATTTTTTTTTTTTAATTTTGAGACATGATCTCATGAAGTTGTCCAGCTTGAACTTGAACAGTTGTCCAGTTGTTGAGCTTGAAATTCTGATCCTCTTTCCTTAGTCTCCCAGTGTGCTGGGATTACAGGTGTGCAATAACACAGCCAGTTTATAATAGTATTTTTTTTTTCTGGGAAGGATCTCACTATGGAGTCCAGGGTGGCCTTGGACTTGCTCTGTAGCTCAGGCTGGCCTCAAACTCTCAGCAATCCTCTTGCATCAGCCTCCCGTGTACAAGGATTACAGATGTGCACCACCACACCAGCATATAATAGGTTTCCATACAATAGAATTTTTAAAAATCTATTTTGTGTTTAGGAATAGTGTGCTGTGGCAGAAGCCTAGTTAAAAGGTTGGTATTAAAAGGTCTATCCAAGGGAATCACAGCTAAGAGCAGAGCTGAGCTGTGATGTGCGTGTGAGACATGTATAGTCCTGTGAGGTGTAGGAACTCATGGCAGTGTTTCAGTTAACTGCTGACTCCTGTACTGACCATACATGATCTTTTGGAAACTCCCCCCATTCTGTAGCTTCTTCTACTGTCTTGTCAAGCAAGATTGGCAGGTAACGCATATGACAATAGTAGTTCAAACAATACTTTTGACCTTTTTTTTTTTTAGACAAGATTTTGCTATGTAGTCTAGACTGGCCTTGAACTCACTATGTAGTTCAGACTGGCCTCAAAATCACAGTGAGCCTCCTGCCTCAGCCTCCTGGCCTGGCTGCTTTTGATCTTTGTAGTAAAGGATCCTTGAATTGTATAAGGGGTCTGTATGATTCAACCACCAGAGAGGCTACAAGAGGCCAGAAGATGTGCAAAGGCAAGGTATGAGTATGGGCTCTTTCCTAGACTGCATGCTAGAGTGAGCACATGGTAGAAGAAAGAATTAATGTCAAATGGTGTGGAAGATGTGATAGCCTTGGGCATGGTTCAAAATAGGCAAGAAAAAAAAAAAAAAAGCCTGGTGTTGTGGTGCACACCTGTAATCCCAGCACTCAAGAGGTTGAGGCAGGAAGATCACTGCGAGTTCGAGACCAGCCTGGGCTACACAGTGAGTTTAAGGCTAGCCTGAACTGCATAGCTGAGACCCTGTCTCAAAAAACAAACAAAAAAACAAAATAGGCAATTTAAGCAAGATCATACATCACATAGTGGGAGGAATCTCTCTGTTTTGTTGGAGACAGTGTCTCATTATGTAATTCATGTTGGTCTTGCACTCACTATGTAGCCCAGGCTGCCCTTGAACTCACGGTGATCCTCCTGCCTCTCTGCCTCCCAAGTGCTAGGATTATAAGCATTCGGCCCCACACCTGGGCTTAATTGTTTTTCTGAAAATAATTTCATCATTGGCATTTAAAGTATTGAAGTTGTCTTTGTGAAAAAAAAAATCAGAGCTTTTTTTGCAATTGATTACACTTATCTTGCCTTAGGTGTGGTAGCAAATGCCTGTAATTCTAGCCACTCAGGAGGCTGATGCTGGTGGATTGCAAATTCCAGGCCAATGTGGGCAATTTAGCAAGTCCTTGTCTCAAAAAAAAAAAAGCATTGGGTGTAGCTCAGTGGTGGAGCACTTACCCAACATGTACAAGGCCCTGGATCCAATCTCCAGCATTGAAAAGATAAGTATTTTTTACACTCAAATTATGTAGGGGGGCGGTGAGGGCAGCATCATGATCCTTTCAATGCTAATGAGCTCCATCAGATTTAAACTGGCTCTGATAATCATAAAGAAAAGATGCTGACTCCTCTTTTATTTCCAGCATGGTGAATGTCATTGGTTTTTCTGGGGTCTGACCTCATGTGGCAGAACTTCCGCCTGCTCTACTGATGGTATGGTCTTAGCAACCCGACTCTTCAAGGGAGCGGCTGCAGCTCAGATTCCTACCTGTGCTCAGTTCTGCTTATTAAGTGCTCTGCACGCAGACAGAGGCGTATGGATTACAGATTGCTGTGTCAGAGGCTCATCTTTGGCTTTTGGGGAAAACACTGTGGCATAATGCACGGCAGCAGTCATAGGGTCACCTTGGAGCATGAACAGCTGGTTTACCTCTAATGGCCTGGAGAAAAATAACCTCTAAAATGGCACTGAGTAAAACAGTCTCTAAAAAGATTGAGATGGAGGAAACTCTGCATTTATTACAATGTCTGGCCTCCGGAGGAAGCCCCTGATAATACGTGTTGAATACTTTTCCTAATTACTATTTGTACACACTGAGTAAGCAGGCAGAACAAAGTACTGGATTGAGCTTCTCCCTGCAGATGATGAAAAAATTCCCATTTTTCCTCCTTCCCCACATTCTTTTTATTAAAGAAAGTGATTCTCCAATGTGAAGGTGCAGCAATGGTGAATACTGTATTCCTTTACCCTGCCAGTTGCCTGCGAGATGGAAGGCAGTGTTCGGCTATGGCCCCGATGCCGCCCTTTCCTTTAGTCTGAGAAGAGCTGCCTCTCGCGTTAGGGCCCCTAAGGATCTGCTTGTGGAGGCTGAGGTGATGGCTGTAAGCAGAACCTAAACCTAAGCGTACGATACAACCTAGTTCTGCATCCATGACTACGTGTGAATTACAGTTTGCATTTTTTCCTGGAGGAGTCCTAGAATGGAGTTATTTCATTTAAGGAATATCTGGTTTAAAGAAATATCATTCTCAAAAAAAATGAATAAATAAAGAAATATCATTCTCTTTACAATATCACAGAATCACTTTTCTGCCCCATCAGTTCTTTCTTAAAGATCCTTCATGTTCTCCACGTTTTGCCCTGCCTCCTCTTGCCATTACCTCCTGCAGTCCTGCCCTGGCCCTTCCATTCAGTCAGAATGAGACGCTTGCCCTTC